TTCCATACTTAAGCAAGAGCATGTGAAGAGTAGTGAGTAAAAAACTATATATATATATATATTTTTTTTTTTTTTAAAGAATGGGCCTATTCTATGGGCATGGACCAGGAGCTGCAACTCCATCAGGTCCTGTGTTAATCCGGCCTTTGTGTACGATTCACCTAAGAAGTTTTGCCTTGACGTCGAAGGTGAGCTTACTCTTAAATATTAAAGTGATACAAATAAATATATAAACCCTCCAGTTACTTTGAATATGCATAGGGATTTGGGGTAGTGTGCAAGTAACTTTTTTATTTTGTTTTATTGTATGTATTGGGGCTAGGTTTGAACGCAGTGCTTACTTTTGTATGTTAGTATTTGCTTTTGTATTACAAAGCCATGTTACAGCGCTGCTGCTCACCCCATGTGTTACCTATAAAGAGTTAACACATGCATGGATTTAGAAGGAATACCCCTCTAGCTGAAAAACAGCAGGGTTGATTTGAGAACCCCCTGTTAAGATAAAATTGAAGAATTATTGCATCTAGGAATAATTGTTCATACCACTAGTCCACATAATATTTTAACTTTGTCTGTTGTAAAACTAGGTTCTGACTTCTCCTAATTATAGGTTTGTATAGGTTCTCAGAGCTGTCAATGAGGTTGTTCAGCCAGTTTTCCATGTTGTTTCTAACCCTGCTACCCTCCTGTCCTCTATTCCCCCTGAGGCCAGATATGACACTGTAATTGATCTTGTGCGTAGGTAGAGGGTATTGTGTATGGGAAGACCAAAGGGGAAACCACATGAACTATTCCACACTTTTACTTACACAAAATAACGAAACCACAGACTTACTTGGTGACAAATAGGCCACAACTTTATTTTATAATATTTATATCTTTTCATCAGCTTTTATAAACATATTAACATTGTGACGAGACCAATCTCGCCACATTGCATTGGAGAAGCCTGGTTGCTCACCTGCTGCCTTTGGACTATGGCCCCCATGTTAAAAGACTTTGTTTCGCCTGCAGAAAAGCTTTATTCGTGCTTTTCTGCCTGGTGTTCGGTAGATTCCATCTACCGAACAACCGCACGAATGACTGGACCACCTGGGAGCTGGAGTGTGCCGGCAATTAGCCTCCCTGAAGCCGGCAATTAGCCTCCCTGAATGGTGGCCGCCATTCGTATCACGAACACGAGGTCGCGGCCATTTTAAACATGTGAATGCACAGTGGTGTTCGACGCTTAATTCATGGAACTGAAATCGGACACAGTTCTGCGCGAACACCGCTGAAGCCGCCGACCTCCCTTCTTGGTCGGTGAAAGTGCACGAACGGCCCGGTGTTCGGTAGTTTTACTGGACTATGTTATACCCCAGATAGGAATCTCATGGAGCCCATTCGCATGAAACTGACTGTGTAAAGACTTTAGCTCCATGGCGATTAAACTGTATTTGTGTGGTCTGAGCGCCATTCGCTTAATAATGTGCGCTCAGACCTGAGCTATCTGGGGACATGTTAAATGTATAGTTTTAGTGTAACTTGTGTCATACTGTGTATTTTAATAGTAATTTGTGTGTTAGTATCCCCACGTGCATAATGGCGATTTGCCTTTGTCTTGGGAGATAATTGAATTACTTCTCAATTATCTCCCAGGCAGAGGGGAGGAAGCCAGGATGCATTGTGGGAATATAATGTGACTGTGTGTCCTATTTGTCTACTTGTCTGTCTTTTGTCACAGCCTCCCATTTGGTCCCCTAGGGGAGTGTCCACCAGGTGGGAGACCGGCATAAATACTGGGCAGGTAGCCCTCATAAAACTGTTCACTGCTTGACCCTCAACACGGATCTTTGTCTCATTCTTGGGGGGATTTATTGTATGCTGTTCCAGTTTGACTGCTAGGAGTGTAAACTTATTTGTGTGGTTTTTCCTATTCGGCTGTTTACAGCATTTGTATGGTTTCCTGTTTGGTGGATTGGTGTTCTGCAGTAGCTTTGCCTGCATCTCTGCAAAGCAGGACGATCGCCTAAACCGTTTTTACCCCTTGTGTGCAAAACGGTCCGTTACAAACATAATACAACTTTCTCTGTAAACCACGTCCATGTGATTGCCAACTTAAAACAATCACATGGGCACCTGTCCTACCCCCTCTTCCCAACCACCATAAAGGCCTTTCTTGGGCCTTACATTATCGTAATGCTAACCACTAGGCCTCCCTCACACGATGGGGAATCCAAAACTCAACGCTGACCCCCGAGCAGCAGCTCTGCCGCCTTCCAATTCCTACAGCGGCTTAGCCACGGGTGCATGGCACCCACATCCACTGGCATCTTCGACCTTCGAACCCACAGCATCGCCACGCTTACCTGCCTTATCGTGCTTGAAGCAGCGTGCAGTGGTGTGGGATCCCCCACACACAGAGCATTCATGCTTAAACTTGCATTCACCTTCCACTTGCAATGACTTTCATTGAACTGCCAGCAGCAGTCCATGCACCTAGGTGAGGCCGACGTGGAGGGGAATCCCGCCGCACTGCACTCCCCAAGAAAGAATGACCAACCCCCCTGGTGTGAGGCCGGGTGAATCATAATCGCCAGTCACAGCCCAATATCTATCTAGTCCCACCCAGTGGATGGGCGAACAGCCAGACTCTGGTGGAACTCTTCGTTGTACCACCACCAACTCAAACCACCATAAATCCGGCACGCATTCCACACCATGTCCTGGTATAAAAACAGGACCAAGCACTTCTCAGGAGCTCTTTTCCCAATAACCCTGGCCAGAATCGAGAACACCCCGGGAACCAATTCCCAAACGTTTTCGGAATCTTCCGAAAGCGGAACTCCCACATCTCCTGATAATGAATTTGCTGGTAAACCAGCAAAAAGAAGCACCAGGTTTACCCTTCACAGATGTTTTGTTAAGAAGCTGCCAATGAAGGACCCCACCTCACTAACTATTTCCATTGATTTACAAAAATGTTATTCCTACATTGATGAAAAACTCAACAATATTAGGAATACAAAGGAGGGGTGGAAGAAAACGTTTTTTGGGCCATCAAATTTGTCAAAATTTACCACCCAATTTGGCTCCCTATATTATCAGACTAGCACCTGGATTGAGTCATGTGAATAGTGAAACAATGATCAAAATTAAAGCTGATGGTGAGCCCCAAGTATTCAGCGTCTTGTTAAAGAATACAATTAGTAAGAAATGTGCAGACACCCACATGCCCTGGCCAGAGGCTTTTCCCTTAATATTTTTTTATATATAGTATTTTACTATAGGCTTTTCCGCTATTATTTTTTATATATCTATATAGTATTTTACCATCGGCTTTTGCCTTATTATTTATATATATATATATAGTATGTTACCATAGGCTTTTACCTTATACTTTTTTTATATATATAGCATTTTACCATAGGCTTTTCCTTTATTATTTTTTTATATATAAAGTATTTTACCAGAGGCTTTGTCCTTAGCATTAATGTCTATGACAAACTCAGTTCATACAGCCATAGAAGTTACACCTCACAAGCTCACTGCTAATTCTCTATGATAGATGACACGATTAGCATGTAGTGTAAGACTCTAATGAAATCCTTTAAGTCTCCCAAGTCACAGGTACAAACAGTGCGCATGAACACAGAAGACAATGAACCTATTCATCAAATCCAACCAGGAGACTACGTATTGGTAAAAGGTTTCAAATGAAAGAAAGTTCTCCAACCTCTTTGAAAGGCTCATTTCAAGTCATGTTTGTAACCAACACAGCTGTCAAGGTAGCTGAGATTGCTTAGATTCATTGTAGTCATTTAAAGCTTGTCCCAGTACCAATTTAATCAACAAGTTAGTCTTCCAACAGGCACAATAATCCCAGTTGACTAACCTATGTGGGAAAGCCGAGACGTGTCAAGAGGCCACTTGTGAAACCATGCAGCGAATATATGAAAAAATTTAAACAAGAAGAATAATTATTTTTGAGCTGAACTCTTCCAATCTGGAGGAAAGGTTTTGATGTTTCTTGTATTTCTTGATATATTGTTTATGATTGTGCATTTCTGTAGTATACTTGTATCAGTTTAGAGCAGCAGTTGTCAACTCTATTGCCAAACACGAAAGGGAGGAGATTAGAATACCATGGGAGAAGGCTAATTCATATGTTGACGTATGCAGAATTTTATAATATGCTTCTGGAGTAGACCAGCAATGTTGGGTAGTAAATTTGTTTCACATACTGCAGACACACCTTATATTGGTTACCCCTAGAATAAGTCA